GGCCTCCGCGAGGATCACATCCAGCGCGACCTCGCGCGCCACATGCCGCAGCTGCGGCATGAGCGCCACGCAGCGTCGTTCGGAGATGAGCTCGTAGAAATACCCGATCATGACCAGGGCTTCGGTCCAGGTGAGCTGCCCCACTAGGGGCGCGATGTCGGGGGGTCCGTCGAGGGCGCCCAGGAACCGGACTTCTGCGCCGGTGGATTCGAGCCGCTTGGCGATCTCGAAGGCGATGCTGCTGCCGAGCGAGTAGCCGGCCAGGGCGTAGGGGCCGGAGGGCTGTGTATGTTGCATTGCGGCGGCGTAGGTGTCGGCCATCTCGGCGATGCTGGTGAATAGTGGTTCGCCGGGTTGCACGCCGCGCGAGCGGAAGGCGTAGATGGGCCGGTCGTGGAAGGCCCGTGCTAGGTTGGCGAAGATCAGGACGTTGCCCGAGGCGGGGTGCACGAGCCAGAGTGGGGTTTTGGGGCCGGTGAGTTGGAGGGGGACGACGGGGTCGTATTCTGTGGGGAGGGCTGGGGTTGGGGAGGGGGAGGAGGAGGGGAAGTGGGTGTTAGGGCTGGGTTGGTGTTGGTGTTGTTGTTGTTGTTGTTGTTGTTGTTGTTGTTGTTTGGAGGCGAGGCGGCGGGCGAGGCCGGCAACGGTTGGGTCCATGAGGAGGTCCGGGAGGGTGAAGACCACCCCGAACGTCTGGTACAGGTCTTGTGTGACGGTGTAGAAGTCGAGCGAGGAGAGACCCAGGCTGAAGAGGTTGGTAGTCACACTGACGGCGCCCGGATCGGCCGCGTGGAGGCGCGCGCAGACGAGGGTGAGGATGGCTTGCTCGGTGGGTGAGGAGGGGGCCTGGCGATGCGCTTGGCGGTACGTATGGATGCTGCTCTCGTGGGCTTCGCGTTCAGAGTTCAGAGCACCGGACTCGAAGAGGCGCCGGAAGTGCGCGCGGGAGAGCTTGCCCAGGGAGGTCTTTTCAAAGTAGCGGCGTGGCAGGGGGAGCACCGCGGCGGGCTTGACGTGCACGACTAGGCTGGCGATTCGCTCGATGGCTTCGGTGGTGGCGACACGGGCCGCAGCGTCGTCCGGGCTGTAGCTGGGCAGATACACCACGCAATAGGACTCGGTCAAGGCGCCAGGGGGCCGGTGGGCGAAGACCAGCGTGAAGCTCGGGGTCAGACCGGGGATCCGCGCCTGCTCGAGGCTGTGCTCGACCTCAACGGCAAAGATGGTCAGCCCGTTGAGCAAGAGCGTGTCCTTGGTGCGGCCCGTGATGTAGAGCTGGCCGTGCGCGTCCAGGTAGGCGTTGTCCCCCGTGATGAACCAGCCGTTGGACGTGAAGGCCGCACGCGTGGCAGCGGCATCCCGATAGTATCGGTCGAACAGCACGGCTCCGCGCAGCTGCAACATCCCCTCCTCGCCCGCAGCCGCCTCGCGCTCGTCCGTCTCCCGCAGCACGCGCATCTCCACCCCGGGGATGGGCAGGCCACAGCACATGAACTCGCCCGCCGTCTCGTGGAGGCCGTCCACGGTGTGGTCGACCAGGTCCCAGACCATGCCCGCGCATGACTCGGTCAAGCCGTAGCCCGCACGGATGAAGGGCCGGGCGCCGTAGGGCTCCAACGCGCGGAGGAGCTGCACCGCCATTTGCCGCACAGTGGCCTCGCCGCCGGAAAAGACACAGCGCAAACACGAGAGGTCCCAGCTCGGGGCGGACTGGGCCTCCTGCTCCTGCTCCTGCTCCTGCTTCTGCTCCGGCGTGGGACGACAGACGCGCTCGCACAGCAGGGCCAGGAAGAAGTTGGGGGCGAAGCTGAGGGAGACGCGATGACGATCGACCAGGTCGAGGAACCGGCGCGGCTCGGCCACCACGAGCTCAGTCGCCACCTGGATCTGCTCCGCCCCTAGCCGCATGGCGTGGAGGTGCATCTCGACCAGGTTGACGACGTGGTCGAGCGCAATCCAGCTGAGGAAGACATCCTGAGAGGTCGCCCCGCAGTGCGCGGCTTTCCCGGCCGCTGCGGCCAGCATCTGCGGCTGGCGGAGACACACGGCTTTGGAGAAGCCGGTACTGCCTGAGGTGAGCATCAGAGCTCCGAGATCATCTGCCCGTTGATTGCGATTCACTGGGAGCGGAGGAGAGGTAGACGAAATGGTCAATTTGCTGGTCAGTGCGGATTGCTGATCGACGCGATACAGACGCGGGGTGTCGATGCCCTGGAAGGCGCACGCCATGCGGCCGTTGGTGAGCACCACCGGCCCATCCAGCAGCTGGAGAATGTGTTCGGCCTGCGCAATGCGACGGTCGGTCGAGACCGCAAATTTGGGAACAATACAAGGCAAGTAGCCTGCGACGGTGCAGGCCCAGAACCAGCGGATGTTTTCCTCGTGGGTGTCGAAATGCAGCAGGAACACCGTCTCCCGCTGCAGATTCGACACCGAGGTTTGCAGCCAGTGCGCATCGTGGCAGGCCTGGTCGAGAAGCTGCTGGTAGGAGAGCCAGTCGCCCGACTCTGCTGACTCTGCAGTGTAAAAGGTGATGCCTGCGGGGGTGGTTGCAGCTCGCTGCAGAAGCTCGAGCAGGCTAGTAGCCTCGCGTGGGGGCAGGGTCTCACCAACAATGACTTCCGCAGTGCAGCTCCGCACTTGGTTCTTGCCCAGCCCCAAGGCGGCAGGTGAAGGACTAGGATGCAGTAACATGATGAGAGGGAGGGGTGCTGGGGACGATTATCGAAAAAGTCCCATGGTGCCTGGGCGCGTGCATTCTTATGGGCGGGTTGCAGAGCTAAGCACTGCATCGCCGATTTGCGAGGCTTGTCTGCATGTCTTATCGGACGATGCATTCTGGCGCGGGGGCCAACAAGGACGGAGTCTACGGAGTCTTTGCGGAGTTGATGGACAAATCTCCTTCGTGCAGGAATTGATTAGTGCCGGATTAGGGCCGACGCGATGCAGGGGCGGAAAAGTGGGCCGGTGGTTTGGTCTTGTCTGGTCTTGTCTTGTCAAAGTCCGGCCCTTCCCCTCTTTTCTCGTCTGTTCAATCTGGCAGATATTGGTGATAATTGGTGATTCGAACTAGTGTGCAGTCCAGCACAGGATCCCTGTATCCCTGTCACAGTATCCCTGCCATCAGGATCAGTCTGGCCACCATCAGGAGGCAGTGAGGGTTATTTATCACTGGCAGAGCGCCTCTTCGCTGACAATGGGCTTTGTTGGGTTGTTGAGAGGATCTTGACGGTCTGACGCATTGTCCTCCCATCCCTTTCCCCATCTCTTCTCATTTCTTATCTTTTATCTTTTATCTACGATTCGATCACTGTCCTTCACCATGTCGGAGACGATGTCCTCGTCGTCCTCCACCCACACCTCGACGCTAACCGCGGCGGAGCTGGCCGAGTGGTCGCAGTCACTCCAGCCGGTGGTGTTGGGCCTCAGCGTCACCATGCTGGTGCTTGGCAATCTAGGCGTGATGCTGCGCATCTGGGCCCAATGGCGCATCCAGAAACGCCCCATGCAGGAGGACTATTGGCTGGTCGTGGCTGTCGTACGTGTTCTGGTCGTCGTCCTCTGCATCCACAGACTCAACCGAGTCACTGACCTCCCCCTCTCCTTGGCCTCTAGCTCTTCGCCAACGTGGTCTCCGTCGCCACCATAGTTGCGGTGCACTATGGACTGGGATACCACCTCTTCCGCGTCAACACGGAGGATCCGTCGCTGCATGCGCTGAAGTGGATCTTCCTGTGCGTGTGGCTCACAGCGACCTTCAACGGGCCCTCGATGCTGGCCACCAAGATCGCCCTGCTGCTCTACTACCGTCGGCTGTTCATCGTGCAGCAGATCTGGCTGCGCATCTTCTGGTGGACGAACATGGTATACGTGGTGCTGTGGGCGATCGGGTCGACCATCTCGTACGCGCTCTCGTGCGTGCCGGCCAGCTACTACTGGGAGCGCTTCGACCCGCAGTCGACCATGCACGGCACCTGCCATAACACCACCACCGCCGACGCTCTGCCGCTAATTATGGACCTGGTCTCCGATGTCGCCATCCTGGTGCTGCCTATTGCCACCATCGCCACCCTGCAGATGCCGCTCGCCCGCAAAATAGGGCTCATTATCGTGTTCTCGGTCGGATTCATGTAGACTCCCCTTCCCTCCCCTCTGCCCTAATTGCCTGCGTCTCCTTATATCCATATCTCTAATTCCACTCTCCGCAGCGCCGTCGTCTCCGCCATCGCCCGCGTCGCCGTCCTCTACACCGCCACAAACCTGCACTCGGACTTTACCTACGCGGCCGCGCCCTTCGAGCTGCTGGACGTGATCCAGCTCAACGTGGCGATCGTGTGCGCGACCGCCGTGCCCATCGCCTCGGGCTTCCGCGTCGCCTTCAGCAAGAAGTTCCGCCGCTCCAACAAGAGCTGGACGGCGGGCGGGGCGGCTGGGAACACCTACTACAGCCGCGCCTCGACGGCGGCGGCGGCGCGGGCCGCGCGTCGGCGGCTCGAAGACGAGGCCAGCAGCAGCACCGAACAGCTGCAGATGGGCCACTTCACCACCACCAGCTGCGCCTCCAAGGACCCCGAAGATCGGGCCCGGGGGGCAGCCGCAGGCCTCGTCTCAGCCAACGGGATCCTGGTGAAGATGGATGTGGATATCCGGTAGTACTTCGGCTGTATACAGTACATGCAAGACCTAAGCAAGAAGACGGAGCCGGGGGTTCTCCTCAAGAACGCCCACCTTTTCTAAGTCTGTAGGAACAGCAGCCTCCTGGACGAGAACCCCCAGACCCCCCTTTTCTTTCAAACTTCCTGGCCAGGCGTAGACTGTATAGTTGGGATGTTTACCGAAAAGGTGAAAAGAAGGGGGGTCTGGGGGTTCTCCCCCAGAACGCCCGCCCTACCAAGTCTCAGGAATAGCAGCGTCCTGGGGGAGAACCCCCAGACCCCCCTTTCTTTCAGCTTCCTGGCCAAACGCCGTAACCCTAATGCTCATACTCATAAAATAATCCCTCACTGCACCCGGGTAGCACACCACCAAACCACACGCGCATTATCATCCACGAAGCTCATATTGCGCATCTTCGCCGTCGTCTCGCCCACCTCCAACGCCGCCTGCACCTCCCACTTCGTGCCCGTCCTCCGCTCGACCTCGCGCCACAGCCCCAGCAAACTCCCCACATCATGCCGATAATGCAGCGTCTTGTCCATCAGCCCCGTCAACTCATAAACCCCAGCCACCGTACTCCCCATCTGCCGCCCACACACAATCGCCCCCGGCTGACCCCCAGTCAGCCCAATCAGCCTCACCACACCGCGGACCTGGCCCTCATAATCCCAGAAATGCAGCAACGAGCCCGCCCACACCACATCCACCTTGCCGCCAACCGTCCCCACAATCGCGCCGCGCGCCCACTCCTCCTCGCTCTCGACCCCGAAGTCCCCGCCCACAAACGTCGCAGGAAACCTCTGCGCGTCGTCGCGGAACAGCGTGTACCCCAGCTCGAAGAACCCCGGCTCGAGATCGAAGCCGTACAGCTGGGTCGCCGGGATCCCCGCGCAGTGCACCAGGTGCCGCAGCTCCTGGCCGACGCAGCAGCCGGCGTCCAGGAAGCCGTGGGCCGGCGAGGCGCGCAGCCGCGCCAGCACCTGCGGGTAGAACGGGAGGCGCGCGAGGTGGCAGCTCAGGAAGCGCATTTGGCCGATGCAGGGGTACGGGAAGATGGCGAACGCTTCGTCTCGCTGTTTGGTTTCTCGCGGGGTCAGGATGGGTGGCTTTTGGTTGGCTTGGCACTAAGGGGGGGGGGGGTGGCGTTGGGTGAACCATTGGCCATAGGGAGGTATTGTCTTTTGCTAGCAAGAAAGGGGGTTGCGTACCAAGGCTAAGACATGGGGGAGGACCTCGTCGGGCTTGAGCCCGCTGTACTCTTCCAGCAGGGACTGCGCGGCGGGGTCGATGGCCGTGACGCTGGTTTGGTACCAGCCTGGTTTGGTGGTGGTGGTGGTGGTGGTGGTGGTAGTGTCGGTGGTGGACATGGTGGCTGAATGCTTTGTGTCTTGGCAGATGGAAGGATGGGCGAGGGAAATGAACCAGGACACGAGTTTGAGTTGTACTCCGTATTTGACTTGCTATTGCCAAGGGGGGAGGATCCTAAATCAGCAAACAAACCGAAATGCCTCAGATTTTAATGATTGAAGAGGGGTAACAGCGAACTAGCCAGCTAGTGCTGACGGGAGAGCCTTTAGCGCGTGAAGCTTAGCCCTAGCTTGCTCCTGCGTCGAATGCACGCTACCGATTCACTAACTAGTACTACAGGGTAGCACATCCTTCCGGTCCCCCATCGGATGCCCGTCAGCAAATCAACCCCAACTGCGTAAATCACCCTCCCCTACTCCGTACCACTACCAAAACAACCCATCTTCAACCAGTGGTGCTTGTATCAGCACCGGAAGTCCCAGGGCAAAGGCCATCATCCCAAACAGCCTCCACGACCGCCAACGCGCTCCCCTCCACCCGCCGGACCCCGACCCAGCGAAACCGCTCGTCCGCCTCCTGCAGCAGCCCCCGCCACTGCGCCTCGTCCCGCTCGCGCGCGTTCAGCAGCAGCAGCATATTCAGGTCCATCGCGCTGGCGAGCCGCCGCTTCCACATCGGCTCCTGCGCCGGGTACCGCTCTAGCACGTGGTCGTGGATGAGCACGCGCGCCCCCGCGCGCAGCGCCGGCCGCAGCTGCCGCAGAATCCGGATGGCGTGGCCGTCCCCCCAGTTGTGGAGGATGTGGCGCAGGTAGAAGACCCGCGCTGCTGGGGTGGTGGGCGGTTGCGGGGTGAAGAAGTCGTGCGCCTGGAAGGAGACTCGGTCTGTTGCTGCGGATGGCGGCGGCTGCTGCTGCTGCTGCTGCGCCCTCGCGCGAGCGACCACCCCCGGCAGATCCTGCACCACGAAGCGCAGGTGCGGGAACGCGGCCGCCAGCGCGAAGCTGATGTCGCCCTGCGCGCCGCCCACGTCGACGACCACGCTGTTCGCCGGGAGGCCGGCCAGGAGCGGGTGGACGGAGGCGACCAGTGCCGCCGGGCCCATGGCCGCCCCCGACGCGTAGCCGCGCTTGCTGGCGGCGAACGTGGCGGCGCGGGCCGGCGACTGCGCCAGCGCCTCGTACAGCGCCTGCCCGTTGTTGGCCAGCGCGAAGCCCTATCGTGTCTTGTCAGTGCTTGGTCCTGTGTATGTACTCCGTATCTTTGGGCAGATTCTCCCGGAGGGGGAATCTGCCGCTGCATGGTGCTTTGTTTGGGAAGATGAAAAAAAAGGGGGGTCTGGGGGTTCTCCCCCAGGACGCTGCTAGTCCTGGAGACTTGGACGGGGTGGGTGGGCGTTCTGGGAGAGAACCCCCAGACCCCCCTTTTCTTTCAACTTCCTGGATGTGGCGTACTCCGGTGCGTGACATGATGTTGTTTGAAGAGAGGGAGAAAGGGAGGGGGTTCAATTGCCGGGGTCTACTAACCGACTCAGTGGGCTCCTCGGAGCCGGGAAAGCGCGTTAATGCCTCGATCGTCTATGTCAAACACACCCTGGTTAGCCGAGATGACCTGCCGTGTTGGGCTAGCCGGGGAAGGGGCCACTATATACCCTGGTCGCGCCGGGCCAGCTATTCGTGCACGTCGAGCCAATCCAGCCATGGAACCCTTCCTGGCGCAGCAGCATGCTGGCGCGCGTGTGGGCGACTTCGTTCTCGGCGGGCTCGTCGAAGACACGGATGGTCATCGCGTGGCGGAGGAGGCGCCGGACGTCGGCTTCAGGGACGTCGCATTGCGCGGATAAGGCTGCAAAGGAGACGGTTCCGTTGGGAGGGACCAGGTGCGCGACGTTGAATTGTTGGATGAAGTGCAGGGCGATGAGGTGGGCGTGCTTGGTCCCGTTAAATTAGTAGTGTAAGCAATTCAGGGGGTGCATGAGGGGGCGTACAATGGCATAGGAGCGCAGGAGATCGGCCGGGTCGAGCAGCAGATCCTGGATCTCGCACGCGGCGTGCAGGAGGGCGTTGCGTGCGGCCTCGACGGGCGGGGGCAGCGCCAGCGACGGAGGGCAAGTGGCGGCAAACGAGGGCTCCGCTATACCGTGCTGCGCTAGCAGGGTTCGTAGTTGCTGGGCCGAGTCGGCGATGGTCGTGGCCAGGGATTCGATGCGCGAGGCCATGGTGTACGGGGGGGAAGCGGAAGGGTGGGCAGATGGTGCAGGTAGTTGGGGAGATTGGTTTCAAACGGACTGCGCATCTGATATAGTGTACCTCGGTTGCTGGCTTTCTACAGGGGGGTTCAATGGATAATGCCAGATTGCATGACCAGGAGTACAATCTGGCCCCCGCTAACGGGCTTAGTGCATGCAGCTTACATTAAGTGCTGGAGTAGTGTCGAGTTTTGGCCGCACGCGTGTGCCGTTCTTCCGGGCGTTGTAACTATTAGTTTTAGTACAATGCTGAGTATATACAAAGTACGCGAGATGCCAGTTTGCTCTCTACTTCCCCCCTGCCATCGTTGTATTTGAGCAGCGCTTTCTGTGGTCTACTGTGTAGATCAGACGGAGACCACCGCCGCACCGACCAGGGCCAATGCGCCGGCCAGATAACTGCCCGCTGCCATCCTGTGGCCCGCCCCACTCGACGTCTCGCTAGCGGCGGCGCCGGTGCTGGTGCCGGTGCTCGTGCCTGTGCTCGTGCTCGTGCTGGAGCCGGATCCCCCCGAGCTGGAGCTGGTGTCGTTGCTCGCCGCTGTGACGCGGAAGTAGTTGGCCGCGACCGGCTTGCCCAGTCCGGTCTGGTTGAGGAAGCTCTCCAGCGGCAGGTTTAGTCGGTTCAGGGGAGTCTCAGCAGTGGTCTGCATGAAGGACTCGTAGCGGCTGGGGACGCTGAAGTTGGCGGGCTGGTCGAACAGGAACAGGGTGTAGTTGTGCGTGCCGGACTTGGGCTGGGGGGCGATGTAGGAGGCCAACACGTTCGCGTCGCTGGTGCTGTTAACAGCGGTGGTCAGGTTGGCCACAACGGTATGCACGATCACCGATGGGGGAGTGGTTTTGTTCCAGTCCGGGTCGACCATCAGCAGCAGGTAGGGTCCCGAGCTGCTCAGCCCCAAGTCGTGGAGATGCGGCTCCGGCGCGCTTTTGGCGACTATACACGGCGCATTGGTCAGTCAGACGGTCTAAAGAAGGGATCGGTCGTGCATACCGGTCGTGTTAAGAAACTCGCCAGGGGTGAAGCTGACTGCAGCCGACCCCACGGAGTAGGTGGCATTCAGTACCGTTGACGGCTCCCCGATGCTAGCTAGCTCAGGGGGGACGGTGTCTGCGGCTGCGGCAGTAGCAACCGCAGCGAAGGCGGCAATGGCAAAGACAGGACGCATGATGGGGATATGCGTTTCAGCTGGACGTAGCGGAATTCACAATTGGGTGGGAGATGGGTTAAATAGAGAAATTTAGAACTCTACTCGGTACTAATTGCGTGCCTGTTCAACACTTAGCCTAGAATAGGTCGGTTGCCGACGAGCCAGGCGAGAATGGCTCCATCAGCCTTGGCCCTGGCAAGGGGAGAAACGGTCGTCTTTCCACATGGCCGGGGCGTGTTAGCGCACATTGTTCGGGGATTAAATTTCCTTAGCATCCTGTTATCACTCTTGGCTACCAATCTTAGCCATGATAGTCCAGCCATGGCACACGCCGACGCGGGATCCTTTCCAGTCTTTCGTTTATGTTGGAATTTTAGCGTTCATTGTCCATAGCCCAGTCGGTTCATTCCATTATTGTGATCAACTGCGGTGGAGTGAAGGGTATGCTGGAGGCTTTCAGATAGTGGTGTATGCATCATCTATGCTCCCAAACATCAAGATCGCTTTGAGGAGCTGCCAAGCAGAAATTGACACGGAATGATGCGAGCGCTAGATGCATATATATAGATCATATCTCCGGGACGTCCTTTAAATTTTGTGATCTATCGATTGATCGAATTGGATGCTTTTGTGGAGAAGCGTTGCGAGAACGCCAAGTCCTCGTCAACGATGACACTCATTTACAACATCCACAAGACCTTCTCAGTCAACAAGCTCATTCAAATCAACATCAAGAATCAGCACACATTGGTGTTTCTTACTTTTCTTGATTTGGATCTGACAGTATAGGTTTCAAATGGCAGATTAGCCTGGGAGAACCTGAAGACCCTCTCAATAGTCGACGGTGTTGCGATCGCGAGCGAGAAGCCGCAGCACCTGAACAGACCGTATAGCATGGCTGACCAGGTCCTATAATTATCAGAAACCGTCTGCAACATTTTCTGCTGGTAACTACTCATAGCAGAAAGCTCCGGGGCTGATACCAAAGGAGGTTGAAGGTAAGTTATTGGTCTTGGGCTTTCCATTCTAGGAGCTTGACATAGTGATGGTGGTATATTGTCCCATTTACTATCCAAATACGTGCACGGTAACTCCGTTTGGAAAGACGAGAAAAGGGCCGGGGAAATCTGGGGGGTTTGCCCAACTAGAACGCTCGCCCCCGGATTCAGACATATCCTTAATTTATTTCTCTTCTATACTGCGTTCTATATTTCCCTCTTACTGTATGTGCCGAGAGGAGAAGAAGGCTATCCTTTAACATGCCTGTCAAAATTCTCGTGGGTAATCCCCAGTCTGCTCAGGTAACAGGGCCATATGAAGATGATGAAATCCCCATTACCGGGATGGTAATAGTACATGGATGCCGTGTGAGTGAGATAGTGGGGGGAGCGGCGTCCGTGAACTAGTTCACCAATTGCGGCCTTCGCGGGGCGGCGAGCGGTGTTTGACTTTTTGGGTCGCCGCACTTTACACCGAGTCCCCGGTAACTTAAAGGTGGTTAACCTCCTGTTTTACCAAACGTACTACCAATGTGACATCATCCACCCTCTCAGCTCCAATATTCTCCCCTCCTCCAGGAAGATTCATCCATCAGACGGGAATTGCTCTCACCAAACCTACATACTACCGGAGATCCTTGAGATCGGTGACTTTTGAAATTTTTCCAACATATGCATGCTGGTCATAGAGCCCCCAGTCGAGCCGCCTGTCTTGCCTGGTCAGTCATTCTTGTCCCCTCGGAGCCATTCACATATGGGAAGATTAACCGCTCCGGGTGTCAAGTCGCGCGCGCAAGATTCGATGCGACGGATGGAACCCATGTAGCAGAGTAAGGAACTTCTCGATGATATACTGTGTGCCTGGCTGGTGTTCTCACTCGGATAGTCAGTGACTTTGTCCGTAGTGTTCTTACAAAGGATTGAATTGTGTCTATCGTCCCAGCCGTCGGGGCGGGATCCGTCGCGGTGGTGCGCCCAAGTCGCCGGTCACCGAGGCTTCGGCTCCAGTCCACAACCCTACCTTTCCGCCTCTGCACAACCCCCAGCACGCATTTGCAGTCCCTGCGTCGACTCAAGTGACAGGAGATGAAGAGTACCTGGCAAGTATTTTCAATCTACTCGATCCTCTTGGTGGCATTCGCAACCTGGATGTTGGTGGGATTGATGGGTCGAGATTTGATTATTGGAGTGGAGTGCCAGCGGCAGCAGCCCCGGACAACAATGTTTGTGATCCCATAGGAGATGTGATGGGCACGAGCTCTCTCGTGCCTCTGCGCGCATACACATCTGATGAGGACATGTGAGTAGCAGCATCCGAGCAGCAGCCATGAAATCCTGTTGCGGAGTTGTATGCCGCCAGATTATGTTCATGATGGCTGACGGCGACTCCAGAGTCAATGCTTACTATGTACACATCCATCCATTCTTGCCAATACTTCCGCCTCCTCTGACAACGGACCGAATCGAAGATCGACCGTCGGCTATTCAATTTGCGCAGGGACAAGTCAGGACCATCCAAGAATCCTCTTTCCCATACTGGCCGGCCTCCGCGCTCACCCTGGCCATCTCGGCCATTCTGGTATCCATTCCTCTGCCTTCTGACTCCGACCCTAGTTTGGAATCGAGTACTCCATTGAGACGATTGGCGGCGCAGCATCTTGCAGAAGCGGCGTTTCGCGCAGTGGACAACGAGATCGATGCGATTCCTCGAACACCACCCTACACAACTAACTCTGCAGGGGCCGCCACCGGTGACAACGACATCTTGTCAGTGTCTTCCGTCCTAGCCTTAATACTGCTCAGTATCCATGAATACTGCCAGCGAGGGAACGTGTCACGCATGCGGCGTCGCGCTAACCAGGCGATCACGGCCGCCATGGATCTCCGCTTGCATAGCCTGGGCGCTGCGGCAACCGAGGCACAGCGCCGGGCGTGGTGGGGTGCGGTGCGTTATGCGCTCAACAAAGCTCTGGAATGCGACTCTAATTAATTCTGCAGATGTTTGTTCTGTATCTGTCATCCATCGATCAAGACGTAGTAAGTAATGTCCTCCTATCTGGAGCTTCTCTGCTTTCATCAATTTTTCCTCTCTACTTTTGGTAACCGGTAGAAAACTTCAGTTGCCTATCATCACACTTGATGACCAGAGGATCACGACCCCGTATCCCGCCATCCACAACCACTCAGAGGTGCGGCAACGTCTTTCAGCATTGAACTCTCCACGAAACCTGACTTTTATCCTCAGTTGTGGCCCCTTCTACTTCAAGCCGAAGCAGCCATCCTATCTGTCTCGCAGACCTTGCATAACCGACACAGCCTTCCAGCCCTAGCAGCCGCTTCTCCTCCCCAGATCAAAGCTGAGATCACGCAACTGGACTCGACCATCCTGGAACTAACGCGCAAACTCGACCGGTCACCCCGACCCGAATCCAGGACCCATGTCGAAGCACAAGCCCTCTTAACAGCGTGGGCGATCGCCCAGTCCTTGACCTATTCGTAATAATCCCCGATCCCCGCCTCTTTGCCAGCCAGAAAAACAGACTAACTGCCCATAATTCTGTTAATAGAGCCCGCGTGCGACTGCATCGTTCCCGCGCCTTCAGCACAATTCCCCCCATATTCATCCACAAGCACTGCGACCTCCCCAGCCACCCCGATCCCACCCGTCCCCCGCAGTCAACACCCGAAGACCGGATCCTCGCCACTGCCGCCTTCCCATTCACAGAAGCGCAGTCCTCCCTGATCTGTCTCAAAGCCTCCCTGGCCATGGCACGTGCCTACGTGAGGATCGCAGCCATTGCCACCGGGGGAGCTGTGCACCGCGGAGCACCACACCTTCAACCGGTTGGAGCATCGCACGCCTCCTCCGCGGAGAGATTTGGTCTTCCCACCCCAGCGCGAGTTCCACCTCGAACGCACATCATACCGTTTTTTCTCTGCGGCTCGATGCATGCCTCGTACGTCCTGCTCATGATTTACCATCAGCTTCGGGCGGCGCTCTGGTCGACGGGGGAGGACCCGCGGGTCTCTTTGTCCAAGTACGCGCACCTACTCCCGCACCCGGTGGAGCCGGGATCCGAGATCCAGGATGTGGAGCGGCTGCTGCGGGAGATACAGCAGGGCGTGGACTCGATCCTTGGGGTCATGCGGTTGACGGTCGTGTTTGAGGGGGTCGGGGGGATGGCGGCGGAGGTTCAGAGCGCGTATCATTCGGTGTGTGGTGGTGAATTGTGATTAGCTGTCTTGTTCTTGTCTTCTTCCATTGTATAGTGGATGAATCATGAGTTTCAGGGTAAGACGTATCCTGGTTTAGGCGTATTCTTCCAATGGTCTTGGGTTTCAGTAGGCATTGTTGATCGAGTAGACCGTATGATTTGGTTCCCCGCTGGCCGCGCAGGGGCGGCGAATGATCGGGTCGCCGCTGTACTGCACTAAGTTAGGTGCTGTGCTGCAATTAGGGCTGGACGGGTGGGAATCAAAGGCCGCCGTGGACCTCTCAGATGCACTGCAACACGAGATCTATTCACAATGGTTTAGGATTTGTTCGTGAGTAAAGCTGGGAGGGATGACTCTCTATTGTATACCTCTGAGAGAGTCACCCGGATCTTGAACATCGAGTGTAGAGTATGTCAGTGTATAGTCGCGTTTCGACCTAGAACCTCGACAAACAATCCGACTCAAACAAATGGTCTAGGAGCAAAATAAACACTTGAAAACATACCAACCCCAACCCCTCAAGAACCTCAAACCCTCACACGCCCATCAGCATCATCCCCAGACAGAACAGCACGACAGGCCTGCAAGAAATCCCGCTTCAAGTCCTCGACATCCTCCAACCCACAACTCACGCGCAGCAAACACTCATCACAACTACTGTCGCTCATCGCCCTCCACTCAATCAAACTCTCCACATCGCCCAGACTCGTGGCATGCTGAAACACCCTCATCCTCGACGGCAACCGCCTCGCCAACTCCGGCGTGCGCGCGGTGATAGCGAAGACCGGCCCGAACCCCGCCGGCATCTGGCGCCGCAACCACCCCCCACCATCACCCCCAAGATCCAGATCCTCCACCTGCAGCGACGCATGCCGCACACCTCGCAGCACCTTCCCCACCACCGAGGCAGCAGCAGCAGCAATCTCCGCCACCAACCAACCCACCAACACGCGCGCCGTCTCCGCCTGCCTGCGCACGCGCAACTCCAACGTCCGCACCGACCGCAACCCCAACCACCCCTCCAAGCTCCCCATAACCGCCCCCAGCACCATCCGTTCCGCCTTCAACCGCTCCACCCACCCCTCTGCGACCCTCCCCGGATTCACTACCAACACTCCCCCCAGCATATCCGAATGGCCCCCCAAATACTTCGTCGCACTGTGCATGACCACATCCGCCCCGGCGAGCGCAATCGGATCCTGCAGCGGCGGCGGCGCCAGCGTCGAGTCGACCGTCAGGTACGCGCCGGCGGCGCGGGCTCGCGCCGCGTACCCGACTAGATCGCGCGCCTCGCCCGTCGGGTTGACCGGCGTCTCCACGTGGATGATGTCCCCCGGCTGGAGGAGGTGGAGTTGCTCCAGCGGGAGTTTCTGGCATTTGCGGCCGTCGCAGAGGCGCGAGACGAGCGAGATCACCGCGTGCACGCCGTGGTAGCCCTCCCCTATGAAGATCCGGGCCGGCTGGAGGAGGACCAGGATCGCGTGGAAGGCGGCCAGGCCCGTGCTGTAGGTGAGGATTCCGGCGGTGGGGTGGAAGATGTCTTGCAGGACGTGTTCGAGGCGCGTGGTGTTCGGGGCGGAGTAGCGGGCGTAGATGTGCGAGTCGTGCGGGGCGTTGGGCTGGGCGTAGACGTGGTTAGATGGTGAGGGGTGGTGGATGGGAATAGCTTGGGGAGGCTTGGGAGGGGAAGGGGGGGGGAGGGTGACGCACGTCTTGGTTCTCCATTGGGATCAGGTGCGCGGGATCCCGCGCGTATCGGTAGGTCACGGCTACGTGCATTGGGGGCGCGATGGCGCGGTGCGCGCTGAAGTCGTCGTCGGCGTGGATGGCGTGCGTGGGCATTGCCATGGGCTGGGGTGCGGGGTCTGAGGGCATTTGAGGGTTATTGTCAACTGGGATGGGGGGAGTTGAAGGGGGGTTGTTGGGGGTTGGAGTGGGTGTCATGGTTTGTGCTTGAAGTTGAAGCGTGGGATGGCGTTTGGCTTGGGTAAAATCAGAGTCTTGGGGGAAGGGTAAAGAGGGTAAAGACACGGGGAAACAGGATGTGTGTCATCGGTGGAGATGGCGCCCCTTTTCTCTCTTTCTTGCTATCGTAGTTGAAGATATAACGGTATGTACCTCGAACTGCAAAGACGGGTCGACCCACTTCATACGCCGCTCCGCTTTGGGTCGCCGCGTTGTTGGTCCGTGGCGTGGCGACCGGTTCTTACCTCCATCTTGCCGGTATGATAGATTACAATCATTGATGAGAAAGGTCGTCCTTTAATCAGTGAGACTGCTCGCTGCGACAGGGCCGAAGCTTTCACCTGCGGTGTTGACAGCATGTTGGCGAGCCAAGACTTGCGACTCCTTGCAGCCAGCTGCCTCTGCAGGTTCCTGATACCAGCCATCAAGGTGGAGACCGTCACTCCAATAATCATACAATACCACGAAAGAGACTATGATGCTATAGCTGACATAGGCGAGGAAGACATATGCATGGTATGTGTCGAGCATACAAGCTAGCTACCACTGGGAACCAGACCAGCACAAAATACCATTTTATTGCAATGCTAGATACGTTTTCATTCTGTCCTCATAAATTCAACAGTCACCTTCCCTGCCTAACCAACCCCAACCTTCCATGAGAATCGTTTCAAACTCGCGAGAAAGTCCCTGACGTCCAGCTCCTTCACACACTGTCTAACAAACTGTCAAGCCACCGGCTCCTCAGTCGATCTCGCCTTCACCGTCCAGGATGAAACGGGCCACGGTGCGCCAGGCTGCTTTGCAATTGTCGATGTCGTCCCCATCCAAGCGGAACTCCTGTCGGCCATTGGAGCAGAATAAGACAGGTACTATGTTCGGCAGGGGCTCGACCAGGAAGTGGACGCGGTAGCCGGGAGAGAGCAGCATCAGAGCCATCCGCTTATCGCGAAGATCGGGCTGCCGCTGCCGCTGGCCTACCCACTTCCGCATGACTGAGTCCACAAAAAACATCCAGTCGTTGGTCACCGTCCTGTGCGTCTCATATGACAGCATCAGAAGCTCGAACTGAGGGAGGCTCGTGTCCCACGGCCATTCGCCGGTAATGCGTGGGTCCCGGGTGCGCTCGGCTGTCTCCGACATACTTTCACTTCTGTAAGAATGGGTCCCAATAGATGGTTGCTGGGGTACTGTCACCTGAGAGACGCTGCAAAGGGGACTAGGAAGGGGAGTCAGGTGTTCACGTAAAAGGAAACGGCCATGGATATCGGTGGGTGAAGGCTTGGGTTGATATACACGATACTTCCTAGGTGAAGTCTCCCTCGTTTGCTTCTTCGTTGTTTGCCTCTGACGTAGCGATAGCCTCGTGTCTCACAAAGACGCGGCAGTCAAATGGACTGGGCCCTCCAACACCGCGTACCAGAACTCTCTAACTTTCCTGCTGACATCTTTTTTTTGTCATCGCTCCTGCAAAACAAGTCGTTATTATTGATGCAAGTATCTAATATGACGTGGTTGCTAGTGGGCCGGTCAGCATTGCAAACGGAAGAGCATCGGTAAGCGCGAATTGGGGTTCTCTGTCCTGCCTCGTCTCAACCATCCCGTCCCATTAGCCATGGGATTGCCTACCGTTTGTCCCACCGTTTGATCTTGCTTCCCAAGCCAGTTACATCACCTCGTAGTTGGATATGTGCGGCTGAGGGACATCCCCGATGTGAAGCTGAACAACAGTAGGTTAAGCACTCTTTGCGGCCCGGTTTCTTCTCCAAGACTGCCTTCTGATATTCCATCGCAATACAAACCTTCTACACGGCATCAAATATGCCAGCCGTCACAATCCATCTTCTTCGGACCTCACATAAATGGCAGATGCACATTCAACGTATAGATTGTCGGCCGGGCTACACATCCGAACGATCCGCTCGCTCGGCAGCTACAGCCGAGCCCTGTCCATCTCCACTGCGGGAACTACTTCCGAGCGAGCTCAAAGCATTTATATACTTCCAAAACAGTTTCGGCCTGCCTCATCTCTTACTTGCCAGCCCACATCCCAGTCATCAAAGCAGAAGTGAGTTCTCCGATTCCAAGCACACACTGCCGAAGAACTTGCTAAGCCCAGGTATCAAAAAAATGGCAGTGTCGAACAAGCTTGTCCCTCTCACCGTCATCAAAGGCGCCGGGCATGAGTTCATCCCCCTCCCCGCGGGCCAGAACGCCACGACGGCCGATTTCCACTCCATCCGCACCCAGACCACCGACTCCCCGTCCTACTTTACCTCGGGGTTCTACAAGATCGAGGCTGGCCCTCACCGACCCGCGCACTATGCCTTCGAGGAGACCAAGTATGTCTTGAGTGGGCAGATCGATGTTTTGGTATGTTCCACCCACTTCTCTCAACTGCTTTTCTTCTATCCTGTGGCTCTGGGACGATGGAAACTGACGATGGCGGTTCATGCGCAGGACGAGGCAACCGGAATCACCCACCATCTAGTCCCCGGTGACTTTGCGTTCTTCCACGTGGGGTCGAAAGTTCAGGTAAGATAACCAAGCATCTTGAGGTCATGAAGACGGAACTCTTGTTCGAAGGAATGAGCGGCACAAGCGTATCATCTTTGACTCTGTGACATATCCTCTAGTTCTCGACCAAGTCCCAAGGATTCGCCTTTTATGCTGTCACTCGACCCGTTCGGTCCCCGCATCCTAACCTTGTGGGCCGAGAGGAGGATAAAGCCCGGCTGTGAGGGGGGAAATAACAAGAGGAGTTGCTTTCAGGTCGTGTATAGATAGGTCTCGTGCGTTTGACACGTTCTTGACTTCGTCGTGGTTCCATGTCAGCGGAAGAAATTGTCTATGTCTCTTGATCTTCATTACCACCCCTCTCGCAGGTGTCATCAATATCGATAACTCCATCCTCAAGAGACCAGACATAGTAGACGAGATTTTCCCGTCTCCATTTCTAGAGAAGACTACTTACTCACAGAACATAAGGAGGGTAACAGGGGGTCAGGTAAGAATGGAATAGTTCTCCAAGTGAATACACTCTATAACTAGACATAACGAAGCAGTCTTTTCCGAGTGACAGACCGGCGGTTATCCGGAGGTCATAGTTAGCTTTATTCACTAATCCGTTGATTTCCGGGAGAACTGTCTGCTTGTGATATAACAAGCGGCTTAGAGTGTAGCTCTCTCAGAAGAAAATACCGTCGCGTGTCGATTGAACGACTTGTGTAGTATAGAATCATAGGGACTTCTTGAGATGGGTTACAGTGTTTTCCAAACATACGCTCTCCTCCCAGCAAACAAGAGGGGTTGCGGGGTTGTTTGCGCCAGTTCATAGAATGCTCATTAGATCCGGAGAAATAACGAGCAGGAGTCTGCGGGGAAGGGTGGATCAGGGTCCAGGACGGAAGTACTAGTAACCAGGCAGCCACGTTTTTGCCGTGCTTGGGCCAAGGAGAACCTAGTGGAATATTGAACCATGTTGACAGGTGTTGTTGCCTGACAACATTTGACCCTGCATCGCTAGCCTACTAAACACGTCATCTCGCACCTCGCCCACTACACTCGGTCTGATCACAGAGAAGAAAACATCGTGCCTGGTGCCCAGTGGTGCAGTACAATATCCAAATCCGGTTAGTGCCTTCGATACCCTAGCTAAGAGCTGGTGAAATCAGTACTAAATCAATGTACCCCTCTCGACTTGGACTACACCGTCATCTGAACAGGCTGCACTGGTTATAGAACCGGTCAGATGGGAGAAAGGACTATCGTGGTCGCCTGCATGGAGCGGAGGCGGGCTAAGACAGGAAGTGTGGGAGTCCCCGATTGACGTTACTATAAAGCTAGGCACTGTACCCTAGCTTACTTGCAACCCCGATCACCCAAGTTTCATCAGGTCTGACATAAAGACTTCCAAATCGATTTGACTGTCTGTTCCTAGTTTTCAGGTCGTCCATAATGCCATCGGAATTCTGGTGAGGTTATCCCAGGCGAATGCGAACCCATTTGCAGGATCAGAATGACTACAGCAGTACTAATGAATTCCCCAAAGCCCCACCTACGCAGTAAGAGCCGTTTTCCTCATACCTGATCAACACAAGTCCATAACCATGGCCCAACGTCACTGGCATTGACTCTATTCGTATATGACAGCCGTTCTTCGGGGCCCTGGGATGCACCAGTGCCATCGTCTTCACTGCCTGTGGGGCAGCTTACGGAACGGCGAAGGCTGGAGTCGGCGTTTGCTCCTCGGGAGTCCTCCGTCCTGACTTGATAGTGAAGAGTAAGTTTTGCAAGACGGCGATCTCGAGCTCAATTACTAATACTACTGAATAGACATCGTGCCCATCGTCATGGCTGGTATCCTCGGGATCTACGGCTTGGTGGTTTCAGTCCTGATCGCGAACAACCTCTCCCAAGAAGTGGCTCTCTACACCAGTCTGCTCCAAATGGGTGCTGGCCTTGCGGTCGGGCTGTGTGGATTAGCCGCAGGGTAAGTGGAGCAGCGTGTCCAAGATTAGTTCTCTATGGTGTTGGGTCTGTTTCTGCGTGTTGGGACTGACACAAAAGCACTCATCAGGTTTGCGATTGGGATTGTCGGGGACGCGGGAGTAAGAGGTACAGCCCAGCAGCCGCGACTTTACGTTGGCATGATCCTGATTCTGATCTTCGCCGAGGTCTTGGGTAAGTGGGGTTGACCTATTTTATTGTGGTGACCCGGTCAGATATGCAACGGAGGCTAATGCAACGGGATAGGCCTGTATGGTTTGATTGTCGCTCTGTTGATGAACTCCCGCGCGAGCGTTACGGACTTCAAATGCAGCTGATCGTTCCTTCCCTTCCTTGTGGCGAGAGGGGAAGAAGCACTTAGGAAATGCGGAGCAGCATACATGACCACGAAGAGATCTTCTCCCGCTCCACCCCTACTTACTGTTTTGTGTCTGGGGGCTATCTTTAGTACCGCAGCTATATTTTAATGTAGGTTTAGCATAATCGTACAGTCTAACCCAAGCGTTGAATGAGTATACCCTCCAAGAATAGCTAAACTACATGAGCAGCTCATAACAAGTATCACAGCACAACGCATGGGGCCTTTCAAGACATGTACTTGTTGAACCATTGCAGCATTCTCTCCGGGTGTTCACCAAAATAATTGTAGCCATCAAAACGCCTGGTAGTCCCTTCAATCCAGAACAGCTCCTTCTCACGCGCCCCAATGCCGTCATAGATCGCTTGAACGTCATCAGGGACCACACTCACATCCCTGTGGACTTGAGCCACCAAGGTCGGAACTGTGACAGCCTTCGTGTACGGAATCGGGGTCAGCTCGTCGATGTGAAGCCCAGTCAGATGGAAGATCTTGGTATCGAAGGCCTCGGCGGCTGCCTTGGGATCCAGGCCCGCGTTCTTGGCGCCAACCTCCACAAAGACCCGGCTGGAAACCGGCTGCAGAGCAATGAGCGCCTTGACATCCTTGAGGTACCCGGGGAATTTGTCGTACGCAACGATCGTGGAGTTGGCGCCCAGGCACCGACTCAGGAGACCGATCTCCATGTGGGCGGTATCCGGACGCGAGCGGGCGTACTGGATCGAGCCCACCACATCCCGGGCCTCGAACAGTCCAATGCCAACGATCCCGCCGGAGCCGGCGCCGCTCCGCCCATGGTTGCGCAGGTCGTAGCAGAGGACGTTGTAGCCCGCATCGTGCAGGGCCTTGTAGTCCTTGATAAAGTTGACCTCAAAGCCGCCGAACATCTCGAACCCGGGGAGGTGGCCCGGGTAGCCGGACCGGTTGCAGGGCATGGGGTGGTTGGCGATGATCAACTTGTTGGAGCCCTTGGCAGGAATGAACCAGCCCTCGAGAACCACGCCATCCAGAGATGGGAACCAGACCTCCTCATACTGGAGACCTTCCTCATCCGGCCGACGGAGGATGGGAGAGCGCAAACCGTGGGCGAAAAATTCGGCGAGCGGGCCCGCAAAAGCGTCAATTTCGGCGGCCTTCAAGAACATTAGAACACTGCAGCTTTGGTGGCCGGAGTTGGGTTTGACTTACGGCCATGATGGTTGATGATGAATTGGTATATGATATGGAGATGAAGAGATAGGATGAGAATCAGAAGCCAAGTTATCAAGTGACTGTGTGCTGCAGACGGATCATAATCAAGTTGGTTTGAGGGTTCTATAGTTGCCAGTGGTTAGTCTTATATCCTTCGCATGTAGATTACTAGATAGTCATTTGCGTCATCCACCCGGGAGCCGGAGATAAGTGGAAATCACCGAGATGGAAGAAAGGGAGGTCTGAGCTGCCAATTAGGGTCCAGCTTGCAAGCTGATCATGTTTGAACTTGTGGATATGAGCTTTGACAAGTGGGTACTCGAGTAAGCCGACTCCGAAAAATATCGGGGTGGAGAAAGTGTGAGTGCCAAGAATTGAGCTCCGGCATACCAACAGAGACAATGTGGGCCAGGGGCAAAATATGGCATCCATTTTTTGTTCCTTGACAGTCGACTCATAAAGATCAAATATGACTGATATGCAAGGGCTGATGGTGAACACCTTCAATACACCTTCAATACACCCCTGTTGGAACTGGCCGTGCGGCGAGCTGCCACGTGACTTTCAAGCGCTGGTCATCAGGTGCAATTCTTCGTCCACCACTTCATAGTCCTGTACGGCCTTACTTTTCACCAATCAACCGAGTCAAGGGTTCTTGATCAGGTGGTCTTGACGGCTCACCGCTTCGGGCACCCAGGGATGCCTGGCAGTCGATTGCTTCAGCCTCACTCGGATAGCCTGGAATCCACCATCTTCAACGCCATCATCAAATATCATCTACTGGACCCTAGGTAAGTCACTTGGGCTCCAAGCAGGCAAACATACTCACGTACACAGATGCATTTAAAGACCTGAAGATCCATCTCAATAGGCGGACAGCTCCACATCAAGCCAACCACCAACACCAACACCACAACAATGCCCTCCCTTCCCGAATGGAAGTTCGGGTGTTGAGAGGGGGTTAGATGCTTGGTTGTTTGAAGAGGTGGATGGTAAGTCATGATAATGCAGGCAGCAAGGCCTACCCGCCCCAAGCGCGGTCAGCGAAACCGGCCGCAGCACGGAGCAGTCCACCCTCGAGAAACTTTGTACAAGATTATAACAATAAAAATCGTTAGTTAAAATGGCGAACAGCATCCTAGTGAAGAAAGCATGGTCACGATAGATGAATATCTACCAAGTAAAATCATCAATCTAGGACGATTCACTGGCGCAGAGCCAGCTTCATTCACACCACCTCCTTCTTCAGCTTACATCATCCAGGAGAACGTCATCTACGATTTTCATGTCTTCTTCCTACCCGTCATTCCCACCCTCGCCCTCATCGAGATCGTGTACAAACAAGACCTCTATCTTGCTTAAAAGTATTATATCAACACTAACGTACTGAATCCGGCCGATGGTGGCAGGGAGGCTTAGCCTTGCATTAGTCACGCGTTGATTAATTCTTTTTTCCCCTCGCTCGAAAGCATGCGTTCATCCTACTTTAGCTACGTAACATCAATCCACGCAGCTGCTTCAACTTACGAACCGTTTCTCCTTCCGTCTTTCGAGAGTTTCAGTGGTGCTCACACTCGGACGAGAATCTTGTCGGGCTACCACAACCGAGTCCACAAGCTGAGACCATCCGTTCCGCCATCAGCTTTGCTGGCAATGACCGGCCAGGATCGCAAGACGTGAATCGAGCTATCGCCACACTCCAAAAACGCTTGCAGCAGCGTGGTAATGTGAGTCAATATGTCTCCTTCAAGCACGTGTCGGCCGAGGATTTCAGTTTCTTGGAGGAAAGTCGTGATCAGCTGCGGGGGGCGCGGTCAGTTTTCACCTCCTTCCGGGACTTCGAAACTCTCATCATCGAAGTCCCGACAATTAAAACTGAAATCGGGAACCGGGGGTTTGATCAGATAATCTCAATCCAGCTTGCCACGAGCACGGGCATCAGATTTAGCGAATTCATGCCCTGGGGGCGACGAAGTACGTGGGCCCAACAGCTTCACAGAAAGAAGGGGATGGTGGGTTCAAGAATCGACTGCTACGACCACGCCAGGCGGCTTGGCCACACCTTGTCATAGAAAGCGGAGTCTCGGATTCGTTTGCCCGGCTGCGTCAAGACACATCATGGTTGGATCAGCAATTCAGGGGGTGCAGGTGCTTCTTATTCTGCCCTTGGAAGTCTCGCGAGTAGAACGGACAATCACAATCGAGAAATACTTCCCGCAGCGGCGTGACATTCCGGATGCGAGGGCAGCCAGCCCTAACTTCATCCCGGAGCTTATCTCCACCACGGCTGTGAAATCGGGGTCCTCACCTCCATCTGTTCAAGGGGCCATTGTTGTTCTTGAATTTAGCAGGGTAATAGGTAGACAGCCTGTCCCCTCGGAGCAAGATGTCATTCTACCTCCTGCTGTGTTGATCGAGATCGGCATTGGAATTTTTCTTGATCGACATTGGTCATTTCTGGTGTGACGTTCAGCCGGTCTTCCTGGACTTGCGAGATGTCAGTTGCTGCTTACTGCCGAGAAAACGAGGCTCATCGAGATGCGCATTAGATTGGAATTGGAAGCTGGATGGCCGCAAGACCCGAGGTAGAATGGCAGGCAGTCTACATTGCCCGCAGCCGCTACGATAAGCTTACCTGGCCGAAGGGAACAACTGCAGAGATGATCTTGCACGCACGGAGGAGCGACGTTATTGGTGATATGCTGGTTGACGGAGACAAGGGCACTCCAGCCCTGCAGCTTCTCGGCCCCTGAATCCATCCCCCTCATGTAATGGCCTAGTGATAGACGCTTGCGAGCTAGAAGAACCAAGCAGCTTGGATAACTACCAGAACGCCGTCGGAACCCGCTTTATCCAAACATTCAGAACGTCGATCCGAACGTCGATCCGAGATAGAACGATGAGAAGGACGACTACATTTCCCTCCCACCGTGCCACCAGGGCAACCAGATCGATGGTTCAAAAAAAAAAAAAAAAAAAACGATCAGGAGCACGAAAATTGGAACGATGGTCAAAACGTTCTTTGGAACTTCCGGGCACCCTTGGGTATCGGGCAACAGCAGCAGTGGCTAACTTGCAGGATGGCGGCTACCCACTATTCCCGGTACACATTCTCAAGAACATCAGAGTTCCGAAAGCTTATGGTAAATTTACGTCAGACATGGTCTGTCGCCACAAGACAAATGGCCAACAGCCATGCACCCACCACACAAAAACGCCAGGCACAAAGCTCAGTGATGCATGGGCCCTACTGGCTATTCAGGAATCATCACAGGTACAGTACACACCACGCCTACACGCCACACAAGCCACACACTCCTTTCCATTCTCAGTTGCTGACCTCTCAACCTTAAACCTTGAACTCAGCAAAATAGCTTCGAGCAGTTCAGAACGCAGCGCGTCCACCGCAGCGCGGGTTAGCGCCCGACTCAACCAATATCAGCCGAGAGGAGACGATGATGATACCGCTCATTTTCTGCAAGTTGTGTACAGTACACGTATCTTCCTGTGGACGGGAGAAACATATTAGCAAGCAATATTGTCAGCCTCAACGATACTGAGCTATTTCAGTTCCAAAAGTACATCGAAGCAGCTCTTCTCCGCCCAGCGAAAGATACCTATTTACAGTACCCCGCAGACTTTCGACCAGCCGGGAAAACCTTCGACAGACAAGAGCGCCGTCAGGAGACGTCTACCTTCATTTTCCACGCACACGGAAAACTACTTCTTTCCCGTCTACCGCAAAGCACACGTCCTCTGTGGTGAATCCAGTCATCACCACAAGACATAGTGACTCAAGTCCCGATGATCCATGACTGAGAAAGACAGTCACCCTCAATACCCCAGGAAGATAGAGCCCCGGCCCTTGCTACAACCACCAACATGCAACCCCCCTACACCCTCCCTCCATCAACGCAACTAGCCATGACAGACCAGTACCCACCCCGACCATTCCAGTCCCTCCAAGCCTGCAGCCAGACCTTCCACACCCTCCGCAACCATCTATATGCTGAAGGCAACGACGACCTCGTCAGCGAATACCTCGCCTTCCAACCCATCCCACCCGAAACCCTCCCCTGCCTCACCGACGAGGAGACCCGGCGCGCCCTCCTCGGCACCGTCCGAGTCACCTTCTTCCCCGACATCGCGACCCTGCTCCTCAAAATCCCCACGACCGCCTGCGAAAAGGCCCATCGCAGCCTCGCCGAGGAGACCGTGGCCGCGCTCGCAGGGATGGGGGTCCGCATCGCGGAGCGCGCACCCACGGGGGCCGGGACGTACACGGCGCCCTCGCCCTCGCCCTCGCCCGCGGGGTCCGGGTCCGGGTCCGTGAAGGAAGCGGACTCGTCCTACCGGAATGGGCTGCTGGACGCGGACTGGCCGCAGTTGGTGATGGAGGCGGCGGCCACCGACTCGGAGGAGTCGGCGCGGCGGCTGGACCAGGCGGCGGCGTGGTGGGTGGGTTGGTCGGGTGGGCAGGTGCGCGTGGTCGTGCTGCTGCGGGTGGCGCGGGCGAGGAAGGCGCTCACCGTCGAGAAGTATTTCCCGCGGCGGCAGTGGCAGTGGCAGCAGGGCAAACATGAGCTAGAAACTGAAAAGACGCCACCACCGAGGTTTGTCCCGGAGTTGATCGCGAAGACGGAGGTCGACGTCGGGGTTGCGCCTCCCGCGGTGCGCGGGCCGCCGCTTGTTCTGGAGTTCGACCGGGTGATCGGTAGGCGGCCAGTCGCCCCGGAGCAGGATGTGGTCTTGGGGCATGCGAAGTTGGTCGAACTCGCTCTCATGGTCTTTAAATGACCTGCTGTTTTGTACAAGAATGAATTTGCGATATGTCCGGAGATCTCCTTTGGCGGTTTGTCAAGTCACCTACTTAATTCTTGGAGCCCTGTTGCTCTACACTTTTTCTCACTCAATCATCATTCGTCTATGTATCAAAGGAACGAACTTCTCATCAAGCTCTCTCACTTCATTCGATCTAGTACCAGACTTGAATGACTCTGTACTCCAAGATATGTCTCCTGGAATACATAATACCTCATGTCAGACAAGCCACCTTTACGGCTCCGGACGAGAGTGTCGAAAGAGGTCAAATCTTCCCATTCCTCTGAAATTGTTAGAACGCTACCAGTGTACTAGACGGCGTATCACATATTCTGAGCTAAAGAGCCAATACACATATCCCCGCCTACAAGCACTGCGAGTAATAGTCATTCTGCTTAGTGCAGGTCGACCCACTAGCGCAGGTCGTCGCCCCAGTCCATCCAATGCCACCGCACTGGCCGTAAAGAGGCGCCACGGCAGTGGAGGTAGAAGTAGCGGCGGTAGTCGTCTTGGTGCTAGTGGTGGTCTTGGTGGTAGTGGCAGTGCTCGTCGTGGACGCCTTGGTGGTCGTGGTGGTGGCAACAGCGGTCGTCGTCGTCGTGGTTCCCGATGAACCACCGGGCACATAGCTCTGCAGCAGGGACAGATAGTAGGTGTAGGCGGTGCCCGTTGTCGGCTCCATGTTGAAGATATAGGTGCCCCACCAGGGTCCGGCGGACCACCACAGCGCGCCCAGCCACACGTCACTGGCGGCGCTGAGCGCGTCCAGCATCCCTTTGACGGCTGTCAGACACTGGCTGTTGGCGCCGCCAGCGAACTCGCCCAGGACCGCGCGCTTGCCGTTCTGGCGCAGCCAGGTGGTGGCGGCGGCGACGCGCTCGGCGCCGATCGTGGTGCTCACGCAGTCCGCGCTCGTGCCGGACCCATCGCTGTCGAGGTACTGGTGCATCTCGTAGATGATCTTGTCCGAGGGGTCGGTCAGGTTGACGAGGTTGGTGTTGTAGGTCGTCCAGGTCCAGGCCCCGCTGTAGGAGTTGCCCTCCACGAAGATGTACTGGCTGGTCGCACCAGCAGCACGGATGGCATTGATCGCTGCCTGGTTGAGGTTGAAGACAAGGGTCTGGTCTTCGTCATGATACTCGTTATCTGCGCGATACTTGTTAGTCCGTAAACGTGCAGAGAGACCGAAGGAGACGTACTGGTATCGAAGATGACATGGTCGTTTGACGCAAATACCTTGGCAACAGTGGTCCAGAATGCGGCAAAGTCGGAAGTAGACGTAATGATGTTTCCATAGCTAACAAGCATGTCTTAGTTAGAACCCTAGGAGAATCAGGAAAGGCTCGCTTACTATCGTCCAAAGTTATGGGGGTCAACGACCGCATAGGCTCCGAGGCTGGTGATTGACTCGATAGTCTGATCACGGAAGTCAGTATGATGTAGAGAATTCGGCCAGAATGCTAGAACATACGGCCTTGAGATCCGCCAGGTAGGTGGCATCGGCCGTCCCGGTCAATGAAGTCGGAATCAGGCGCTCCATCATGAACGGAACGCGGAAGATATTCATGCCCGCATTCACCAAGACCTGGATCTTACTCGCGTCAGGCCAGATGTAATCCGTCCCCAGAACACCGGGGATGTTGGCCTGGCCAAACTCTGCGCCAGACTCATTACTACCAAGCCCTATCTGCAGTCAGTACAGGTCTCTCAGACGTAGGAGCTGAAGGATGGACGGTGGCCCATACAGAGAAAATTGGAGGAGCGTTTGGCCTGAGGGGCCGCCCACACCTGGGAGAGAAGCAGTGCCAATACGGTAAACTTCATGGTGTCCAAAGCGGCGATGCTGATGCTGGATTGCTACTGTCCTTTCTTCTATCCCATCGAGCTTCACCACCTCAACTTATACCCCGAAGACGGAAGCCATATTACCCAAACCGACCCCTGAAGCACAACAACAACAACGAGCGACATCGACTCCGTTGCTCACGAAGACGGCCTCTCGGGCCGTCAGCCGCTGTCGATGACACACACACACACACGCACAGTGTGGAGCAGCAGTGACAGCGACCCCAGACCCCAGACCCCAAGCTCCGAAGAAAACGCGGAGACAAATCCGTCACGGCAATTTCTTGTCCCGCACAGACCATCATTTCCCAGTGGTGTGGTGCCTGAGCCCCACTGCAGAACAGTGACGGATTAGGCATGCCTTTGCCGATCCGGAATGGTGCGAGGGGGGGGGTAGACCAGGACTAAGGACTGGCAGTTCGTCTGACCTCGCTTAATGCCGAGTGATATAGGGCGTGAGAGGCAGGCCACCGCGTCCGTGCCAACCCCGGGATTGCACGAGGAAGGCCCAAGAAACAGAGTTCGTGATGCGGAGAATATCCCGTCCACCCACGTTGCTTGGCGCTGCAGGCTCCGGGGGTCATTGTTCCTTTTCCCGGCAGGAAGCCCACCGGCGCTAATGCACGCGCTTGGCGTTGGGTAGCATGGGGGAATTCACTGCCGAAACGTCGGTGGCGTGGTTTGTGGTTGTGGTCAGGTGCCCCTGAGGAATCGTCGGCACTATTCCATTGTTTGAGGGGGATCGTGGCGCTTGCGTAACATCCTGGCGGAAATTGGGTGGCCAGGACTTTGTGACTGGTCTAGTTCACCAGATGTATGAGACCCTCAAGCACCCTTTGGGATTATTCGAGAATAGGAAGGACATGGACACACAGTCTTGAGGATTTCAGATCATTTCACAATGGTGATTGGGCCAGCCAAAATATTATCTGGGACAGGTGAAATAGAGAAGGAAGACATAGATTCGTATTATCAAGCCGTCTAAATGACTATACCAGATAACTTGAAGTCGTAGCGACGATTAAAAAGACTTGGTTGGATAGGGATAGCAGGAGAAGAGAGAGGGGAGAGATCGATCGATCAGCGCAATTAGTGGGGGGGATCAGGCGAGGAGCACATGACCGTGCGGG